CTCTCTCTCTCTCTCTCTCTCTCTCTCTCTCTCTCTCTCTCTCTCTCTCTCTCTCTCTCTCTCTCTCTCTCCCCTTCTCTCTTTTCACTCGCTCATTATCGCGCGTTACGCTAAACCGAAATCTCCCTTATCGAATGGACCGTCCTATCAAATGTACATGTCTATTGCCATCTTAGATTGGCGTCCCGCAGGATGTCCTGACGTGAACGACTTCCGGGACCGGCACCGACTGAACTCCTGCTGAACGGCAACCCGGAGGATGATCACGCTCCTGCGTCCTCGATCTTAGCCGTCGACTACGGGCGTCCTCTGAACAAAATTGACTCGATCTCACGCATGTGTCGACGGAACGCGAAGGTTGATAAAACAAATCGCCCCCGTACCGGCCGGTTCTACCTACGATATTAACTACTGCAGATAGTTAACGGATTGTTTAATTCCTTTCCTACATTTGGTATTTTAATTCCTTTTCTGCATCATAGATCGCGATGGTAATTAAAATACGCAATAGTATTAATGCCAACAAACGAAATCAACCCTTAAATTTTTGTAGACAATATTTTGAATCGAATGTTATCTTTGATATTAGAGAAGATCTGTTTTTTTAATAACACTCGTCGAGGCTTCTTAAAAAATGATTTAATAAGATGGCTGGTAGCTAAGTAATATCCATATACGACTCTTAATAAAATAAATTAATGATATTTTGAGAAATAAATTAAAGTAAATGTGAATCGAAGTGATATATTTTTCAACTAAATGTACTGTTATAAAAATTTGATTTTTCATGTAATAATTTCCTAAATTATGTAACTATTGATAGAGAAGATATCTTCTTTACTGACTACTGGTATTAAGTTAATAATTTATTGAGGAAAAATGTAAGAATTACACATAGAACAGCATCAGTCGATACTTGGATAAATTGAATGATTAAATAATAAAACGACTAATGAAGATATTCACAAGTACTAAAGTCTTAAAAGAATTTTTTTTATTTTTAATATTTGAAGCAAATGTTATATGAATAAATTCTGTACGTTATGAATTTACCGACGATGAATAAAAACACGCTAACAAATTGCAGGACAAATTTGGACAAATACTTGCGAATGTATGCATGAATAAAAAAATGTGTTTTTGAATGCATAGTAAAGATGCATGACTCACAATTTATATAAAAAATAAACTACCAAAACATCGTGATTTTGTTTAATATCTACAATATTATCGCAAAGAGAGAGCCCGATAAATTATAATTCTTGTTTTCATGATATTTAATTTCACAGTTGCATCTGTCCTTACATAACACGTACATTGCTTTTATATTCGCGCCAAGGTGAGAGAACGCGTTAATGGAGATTTTCAAGAGAATATTTTAAATCACGATCGAGTTTAACAAAAACGTTACGTCGCACTCCGCTAAAACACATTCGTCGTCAATTAAAGCGCATTAAATATTAAAACCGGGGAATGATATTACATCGTTGCGATGCATTAGCGTATATTTACGTAGCGACATTAACGTTGTCTAAATACGCGTTCGCCGAGAGTGTAAGCGTGACAGTCATTCGAATCTAAAGGGCCGAAGAAAGTATCGGGCAACTTTTCTGCTAGCGTACGTTTTACATGGCAGTCTATATAGTTTCCGTTTCCCACACATATTTCCTCGTTCCGCATAACTTCATAGTAAAATACCACGTAAAACTCGTACAATTTTAAAAGACACGTTTTATACACCGCGTATTTTCATTACAGATAAAAAAGTTCCAATTAGCACAATTTGAGAATATCTGCAGTAGTCTAATTAAAGCAGAGCTAATAATTGTAAGTGCCTACGTATTATTATCCGTTGGATCATTACGAGAAAAAAAGGAAAATTGTTCGTTCCGATAAAAAATGTATCACATATCTTTCCCAATAAAAAGAGAAAATACACTCTCATGGTCGTTAAAAACAGATTGGCGAAATAGCGAAAGTAATGATACAGATAACAATGTCCCGAAAAAATCCTACAGTATCTCCGTGTGTAAAAAATCGCACATAGTGTGTGTTATTTTCCTCGTGTGTTCCGTGATAATCTCACGTTATAGCGGCAAAATTATTATTTTAAAATAATGTATCTAAAAAAATATAATCTTATTTTCAGCAGAATCCTCTTATACAGGGTGTCTAACACAAAGTGCCTTATATCCGCCACTGAAAAAAGAATTTTATTATCGAAACAAAAATTTGATACACCGGATCAAAATTTGGTTAAAATGTGATCAACAAAACTGCAGTTTGGTAATTGCAACCATGATATTTAATTGCCGCCGCTTTGCTTTCTCAATAATATATGTATTTAACACAAATATCTACATATCTGCAAAATAGTGCAAAATACAGAAATTTTCAATTCAGTTTGACTTAATTGACATACACACGTAGTAGAAACTAAGCATCAGACATTCTGTATATGGCCTGAAAAGAATTCTTCTAAAATTAAAAAAAAAATATTCCAAGCATGTAATTCTTAATGTTAGAGGAATTTTCTTTTATCTACGATATAAATATTTCTTATTTTGTCATATACAAGTATTTCTTACCTTTCTTATATTACCTATGTATTTCTTATATTATATTATATATCTTAATAAAAATTTCTTCTGATAAGAGAGTATTCTGTGTCATAAATATAATCCTCTTGATTAAAAAAAAAAAGGAGTAATATATAGTAGATTTCCAATTAATACACTGAGAACAAGATACTTGAAAATTTATTTGTGAAATATAAAATTTATTCGCATAAATAAACTTTATTTTACAAAAATAAACTCTATTTCAACTTTATACTCCAAAAAAATTTTAAGTATTTTTTCTCAGTGTAGTTTACTTCATTAGAAAAGGAATATTATTACGGTAAGAGTTTTCACTTGGAATATGGAATTACAAGAAATAGCACTTTGTAACTTTGAGTTCTGTTATTGGCTATTAGAATATTTCCTTTTTGGTCTCAGAAGAATCCTTTTGAGAGAGATCACACTCTGAGAAAAAAATACTTAAAGATTCATTTGTGGGATATAAAATTTGAAATAAAATTTATTTCTGTGAAAATGAACTTAATATTTCTCACAAATAAATTTTTAAGTATTTTTAAGTATTTTTCTCTTAGTGAATATATAAAATTTCATTAAGAATATGATTATATATTCTTTCATTTCATTGATTATGATATATGATTTTAATACACAATGCATTACAATTATCTCCAAAAATTCTTGAATCACTTGTTGACTATAAATATGCAAGATAATTTTCCATTTCCCCGTTATGCAATGGCCACGACATTGCAGCATCGATAAGATCCAACACGATAAATCTTAGAAACTTCCGTTGTCTGAGAATACAAACCACGACAGAAGAGAACCGAAAACGACGAAACGACTGTCGCGACGACCCGTTCGAATCGGCTCGAACGACCTTTAATTATACCATCTGTCGTGAAATATTTGCGCGTTAATAATCGCGTCGAGACATTCGTTAATTCTCGATATCGTCGTAGTCGTTGGCAGCGGCGACGAGGATCGTTGTCGAACGGGAACGGAAAGCACGGCGGCGTTCTCCGGCGAACGCGATTCATAATTCATGACTCGTTACGTCTGTCTACAGGGTGGCTCGGCAGCGAACGCACCGTCACCGCCAGAAGCTCCGGGCCCTTATGCATATTGATACTTTCGCGTAACGGCAACTCTCACTCTTTCGCTCGAACGTTTAGACGCGTCTTCCTGTTGTCGTACGAGATGTTTGCGCATAATTTCACTCATCGTGTTTGGCTACCCCGGCGATTCGTTCGCGTGCCCGTTGGCGTGCCGGGGGCACGCAAATGTTTGCGCAATCTCCCGATATTTCTCTTTTCCCCGTTCTTCTCCCTTTCCTCTCCGTCCAACTGACATGATAAGTCTACCGATAAATACCGTACTTCGTGTTATCTTACCTCGACGCTAACCGCTGCTGCTGCTTCCTTCTACTCATCTTCCTCGTCTTCCTTCGCTCGGCGATGACGTCTCTTCGAGGATGAAGCGAGCACTGTACCATCCAAGACGCCGATACAAACGCGACGAAATTTCGTTCGTTCGCGACATAGAGAACCTGCCATATTACTGAAAGTTGTGCTTCCGATCTGATCTGCCCTGATTCGCCCAGCACTCTCGAGGATCACACGACGCGATCGTGGAGTAATCGACACGATGGTACACATGACGATGTACGCGACGGTTATACGCGACGACGCGTCCGAACACTTTGTGCACGCTACACAGAGTTGTTTACATACACTCGAGGTTCGTTGAGATCGCGCGACGTCGCGAAGTGAGCGCCGCGGCTATCAAGCGGCGCGCGCGAAGCCTCAATGCTTCGCGGTACGGCCGACGCGGCGTCGTTTTTCACCGGACAAAGCGAGCGAGGTAGCGTCTAGTGAACACCAGCGCGGTAAATAATAAGTTCGATAAACACAGTAAGGGGCTGAGCACAATAAAAGGAATAAGGAAAGCAGAGAATAAGGAATAAGGAATACTGAAAACAAGAAATAACGCTATTCCTCTGTTCCTCTATTCTACGTTAATGAATTAGGTTTCATGTTTTAATATTGAACTGTTCCCTATTCTCTGTTTCCTGTTCTCTATTCTCGATTCCCTATTCCTTATTCCTTTTATTGTGCTCAGTCCCTAACGCGTCTAGTCGTGCACGTATTCTCGCAAGAAACGGCAGCTTAGGACAAGAGAAACTACGACGTGTCATATTCGGTAATTATTTTATGTTGATAGAGAATGCGATCTTCTCTCTCCGTTGCAAAATGCAGTTAACCTTTATTACACGACTCTCGTCGTGTCTCTTGCTTTATTTTCGCGATCGAGTTCCTCAATGCCGATCAAATATTATCATCCATTTATTATTCGTGTATTATTATTTCTTTATTCGGTTGTTATTTAACTATTTTTGTATGTATTGGGAAGCAACTCGAGCGTGCCGTTACGACGATTTCCTTACCTCGCCTTGCTGTCGTGTGTAATTAATTGATACTACCGGACATTATTATACGATTGTCGATCAGACATTATTATATCATCATCTATTAATTAATCGGGCATTATTACTTCTTTATTCGGCTATTGTTTAATTATTTTTTATTGCACATTGGGAAGGAACTCGTGCCGTTACTATAATTTCTTTTCACCATCTTGCTGTCGTATGTAACTATTTGATACTAATTTATTAAATTACTAATTGATACTAAATTAAATTAAATTTCTGTCACAGAGATTTAATAGAGAAAACGCAGTCACGGCTCAACGCGGCCCCTAAAGGATGCAATACCTGGATGATGCCGCGCCGCAGGATTTGGCTCGTACCTGGCTGAGTCGACTCAAAGGTGAGCTTCATTGATTTGAATTCGTGATTAGAAATCTGTCAAAACATTTTCTTGCTTTGAATCGAGTTCCTTAATGCCTCCATTGTCATGTAACTAGTGAATACTAAATTAAATTTGCTTTCTGTTGCAGAGACGAGCACTCGATTCTAAGGGGATACTGCGCCGGAGAATTCGGCTTGGGCCTGGCAGAGTTGGCGCGAAGGTGAGTTTCACTGATTTAAATTCGTAATTAGAAATCCAATAAAACTGGAAATTCTCTTGTTTGAAATCAATTTCCTTATGCCTCCATTCCTCATGTGTAATATTAAATTAAATTCTTTCTGTTGCAGAGACAAAGCAGACGACCAGCCGACTCTAAGGGGTTGCTGCGCCGGAGGATCCGGCTCGGGCCAAACAGGGTTAGCTCGAAGGTTAGTTTCCATAATTAGCATTTATAATTATAAATCTAATAAGATTGATAATTGTCTTGCTCGAAATCGAGATAATTTGAATCGAGTCAAAGATCGCGTTAAACCGTAATTACACGCGGGGAGAATTTTTTCCTGAGTAACATCACCACTTGAAAAATGCTGATTTGTTCTAATTAAGAGATTTATTTGAAATGTCGAGAAAAGAGAAAGTGTGGAATATTCTAAGTGAATGCATTCCGAAAAATTTTTCCAGCGTGAAAAAATCACGCGTTTATTTTTTTTTTTTTAATATTGCTAACTTCTTCATTCAAACCAATATCAATGCAAGAATTTAATTGGCAAACTTTTCTTCTGTTCCAAAAACGAAAGCAGAACGTGGCTGCCCTGATCGGCAAGTTGGTGAGTCAAAATAAGAAAATCGATAACAAAAAAACAAAAAGTCTTTCGACCTAATGCATGCTTATGAATCAATGCGATTTACTTTGCTGTAGTGTAGTGTGTGTATATGCCGTCTTAAAAAGTACAGTGTTCGAAACAATTGAAAGATCGCTTTTACAACTAATAATATTAGTAATAATGTATTTTTATAAATTTGGCAAATTTTCAAGTATTTTTCTCCCGATGTATATATATTTCTTAATTGTTCGGCTAACATAGATTATTGATAGATTAGATTGATCAATGATTTTTATTGAAGAAAATTTAGATAAATTAAACCCTAACACTGTCTGGCAGATACCATTAAAGTATCGAGTATATGCTCTGAATTCAAAATTTTATAAAATTATTCAGTTTTATTGAATGCGATCTTCCAGGTGTCTCGATCAGTGCGCCAACGCGCAGAGATTGCGCCATAGAAATTGCGTCACAGTAAGTGCGCAATCATATCACTCGCCTCGATAGATCTTCTACCGGTCGTTAATTTTCTTAGTTTTCTCTTTCGCGTGAACTTGCTTCGCGATTGCATTTCGTAAAGTATAGAGTTGGTTAAATAAAATTCGATATCGTGCGGTGTCTACGCGAAACGATCTAACGTGATTATTTAAACTGCTCGCGAAATTAATTTCACGATCGTCGGAAAATTTTCAGGTTTAAATTTTTCACTTAGAATTTCTTAACGCGAAACAATAGATAATACTAGCAAGCGTTGATTCCTTGCAAAAAACGCGATGTATACAAATCGTATGCGAACAGTTGTTTGTTTATTTACGCGACGCGTGACGAGTTCCATCGAACAAAACAGACGCCTCACGCGGTAATATTTTTTTTCGCGTGAATTTGACCGGATGCGGAATAGAATCTTTATCTCTATCGTCGTAATTTTCATAGTTCTCGATTTACACTCGCGTTTGCGATTATATGTTTTTTGATAGATTTGCGAATTTAACCGGTTCGTATTTGCGGAAGAGTCGAGAGCGAACTTCGCAGACATACTGCGGAGCCATTATCTGCAAAAGTATTGCGGAAAATATTGTGGAATTGTCTTCGCAAAAGTATTGCGGAGTTGTTATCCACAAAAGCATTGCGGAATTGTCTTCGCAAAAGTATTGTGGACTTGTTATCCGTAAAAATATTACGGAGCTGTATTGCAGCCTACTACGCTGCATCATCGAAACGTTACATTAGGAATATTCTGTGTCGTACGTGAGAACCTCGCACAGATTACTTCGTCCACGCGTCGAAAGATTTCGCGAGATCGACCTTCGACTCGCGTCGCGTGCTCCCTTCGCTCGCGGATTCCGTTTTCCTTGTAAGCGATTCGCGTCGCGCGTGTATGAAAGCGATACACTATAACTTGATCGGACCGTTGCTGAATTCGTCGCACATACTCGTCGTTTATCTGAAAGGCCGATATTTTCTCGAAGACGCATTTCGCGATATTTTATACGCAATTCGCAACTCAGAGTGTATTCCCCAAGAAAGACGAGAAATTTCGTGAAACCTCCGTTAGATTACCGCGGTCGGGAGTGAATTACAGGCGACGTGGGACGCGAGGACCATTGCAGTGTCAGGTGCAGCGACAGAGTGGCTGGTGAATCCTGGACATCGTGGGACGACGCGCAATGGTGAGCGCTTAATTTAGACGCTCATATAGTAGACACAAAGCGTCATTTTACATAGATTGTATGCACGTAGACGTAAATCGCATTGGGTCCGACGGGAAGTAAATTAAGAATTGAAATTTGCAATTCGCCAGAGTTACGTAAGAATGATTGAACCAAAGAATTTAGCTCTGAGATTTCCGCAATAGTTCAACGAGTCAAGCATTTCCATTTCTTTAAGAGTACTGTCTAACTCAGTCCTTAGAAAAATGTGCAAAAAGACGCGACTGATAAAAAATTAAAAAATGTTTATTCATTTCAAGCATCTATAAGGTTTGAATTTTTTTGTTAAAAATTTTTTTGAATTAAAAAGATGTAAATGGAGTATCCATTAATAAAAGCTTATAATTTTTTGAATTGGATTATTCTTACATAACAATGGCCAATTGAAATTTCGACTCGGCAGGTTTTCTTTTTGTCGGATTATTTCTTGATGATACATTAAACTGATATATTTCTTCATGTCATATTTATATGCTCTGTATATGTTATATATGTTTTTTATGCTCTATTATGTTTTATATATGTCCAATGTATGCTCTATATATACTATTTGATTAATATACTTTATAACTTGTTATGTCGTATTATACACGACATACAATCTCTTCGGAGATATTTTTTTATGCATACGCATTTGTTGTTGACAAGACGACAAATTAAACTTCAACAAATTAAAGACAACAAATTAAATTATTAAGCCGAGGCTCAAACCGAAAGGTTTCGATTTCTTGCTAAATTATTAAACCGAGATTCGGATCTGAGTTTTGAGATTCTACTAAACCATTAAGCTGAGATTCGAGATGTGTTTTGAGGTTCCACTAAATTATTAAGCCGAGATCCAACCAAAGTGTTTTGTGTTTCCGCTAAATTATTAAGTCGAGATTCGAACCGATGTGTTTTGTGTTTCAGCAAATTTATTAAGTCGAGATTCGAACCGAAGGGTTTTAAAACTACGCTAATTTATTAAGCCGAGTTAATTAAGCCTGGGATAGTTTTTGAAAGTTTCTTAATGATATTTTCACTTTTGCAAAGGTGTATTTTCGAAAATAACGTGAAGTATGCCTATTTCGCTCAGCATCATCTCTTGGATGACAATGCGCGTTAGAGAGAGAGAGTGTCACTCTTTCAGTAACACACCCAGAATCTTGAAAATTATCTTCCAATAGCCTAAAGTTGCGTTCATAACGTTAGATCCAACTTAGCATCGTAGAAATGTCGGAATAGGTAACGTATTTTTCAAAAAATTATTCGCAAACTACGCTTGCGCCTACAACACTCTTCTCTAAAAACTCTTTTTTTTTATGTACCCAGTACTCAAGCGATTTTAAAAATTCACCAGAAAAGTAGAAAGAGCTTATTTTGGAGAGAATGCGAATATCGACAACG